GAAAGCATGTGTCATGTCAAAACCAAAGAGAACAAACAAATAGCTATATGATGACACCATCAAAATAATTGATCAGTGTTGCGCTGCCAGAACCAAAGGTAATAAGGATGAAGTTATAAGCCTGAATGCAATTTTCCAACATGAAGCCAAGAAAGACAAAAATAGGCAGTGGGAGAAGCAGTGTCGACATCTGGAAGAACCTAATAGAAAGGGACATACCAGAATCATGTTTGCTGTAGTGAAAATGATGCGATCCACCTTTTCAGCATAGCAAGGAATTGTTAAAGATAGCAATGGGAATGTAGTGAGGGACAAGCAGAAGTTAAAAAACAGGTAGAAATAATATACGGAAAGTCTGTATAGCAGTTTAACTCACCATCAAGATTACAATGACTTTTCAATTAATAAAGAGCCAAACATCTTGAAAGGGGAAATATGGAGAAATTGCCAAATTGGAAAGCCCCAGGTATTAATTAAATACCTACAGAATTATTAAGATTAATGGAATTATGGATTATGGAAAAGGCACATGAATATCAAAAGGATCTCTATATGTGTTTTATAGATTGCAGAAAAGTTTTTGACTCTGTACACAATAAATGATGTTTGGCTTTGTGTAATCTTGGTGTTTCACCCCACCTGATTAGACTTACCAAATCACTATACACTGATCAGAAGGCAACAGTGAGAACATTCTGGCAATACAGGTTGGTTCAAGATCAGAAAGAGTTAGACAAGGCTGTATTTTATCGCCATTTTTTCAATCTGTATGCTGAAGTGATCGTTCAGAAATTAGACCTGGAATAGATTTGGGAGAGAAGATTGTAGGCAGAACCATAAATAATTTGAGATATGCAGATGATACAATACTTTCATTGAAAATAAGGAAGATCTGGAAAAAGTTATCTGGAAAATTAAGGATGAAAGTGAAAAAAAGTAGGGTTGAGTCTTAACTTCAGGAAAATAAAGATAATGACAACAGCTGCAAATGAACAAGGAGGAAATTGAACTCGTTTGAAAATGTATCTTCTTTGGATCAAAAATTGTTCAAGATGGTAGTTCAACACCTGAAATCAAACACAGTATAACCTTAGGCTGCACTGTAGTGGTTAACATGAATAAGATCTGGAAAAGCAGAGATATTGATATAAATACAAAAAGCAGACTAGTTAGAGAAATAGTCTTCCCTATAATTATATATGGACATGAGAATTGGGCAGTAAGAATGGCTGATTGAAGAAGAATTGATGCCTTTGAACTGTGGTGCTGGCATAAATTGTTGCATATACCATGGACAGCCAGGGAGGTGTGCTGAATTATATAAAACCAGAAACATCACTAGAAGCTAAAATTACAAGACTATGTCTGATTTACTTTGGCCATGCATGCAAATTCATTGCAGAAGTCATTGATGCTAGGAATGGTTCATGCAGAGGTTTCCAAACTTGGCAACTTTAAGACGTGTGGACTTCAACTCCCAGAATTCTTCAGTCAGCACAGCTGGCTGGAGGATTCCGAGAGTTGAAGTCCACGCATCTTAAAGTTGCCAAGTTTGGGAACCTCTGGGTTAGTGGATCAAAAAGAAAAAGCAAATAAACAGGCTGGCTTGATTCCGTCCAAGCTGATTCAAAAAAGCCATGCTTGACAGGGTAGCATGGAGAGCACTTGCTTGTAAATCACCAAGTGTCGGAGCCTGAGGCCATGGAGGAGGACAAGATGGAGCCAAGGCCAACAGAGGATGGCATGGCCTCTCTGATCCTGGAGGAGCAACTGGTGGAGCAGGACGAGGCAGTCCCGGGTTCCTCGGGCCTTGAAGGAGTGGCCAGCGATAGAGAGGACACAGGATAACCCAACGAGGGAAGAGGGAGAAAGAGTAGGCAGAGGAACAACAGAGATTACCTCCTCCACCTGATCCTTGAGCACGGAGGGTAGAGAGGAGGCAGGATCAGCGCAACGGCTCGGGGAGTCTTGGGGGACGGCGTCCCTCCCTCATCACAAGGCTCACCTGGGGAATAAGATTTAAAGGGATTCTGTGGGGAGGGGCGTTTTGGGGGAACAAGTGTTGCCTTTTTCCAGCCATGCTTGCAGTTGTCAACATCTTGCTACCTTGTCTTAATAGCGCTTAGCCTGAGTTTGACTTGCCTTGTTTGGCTTGGCCTGGCCCGGCCATGGGCAAGTACTCAGCAACACAGCTCTGCTCCGGGTTATGCTGCAGTCCTAGTGACCCCTCCATGTAACGAGGAAACCCTGAAACCAAGTTACCAGAACTATGTTTGCTCTCAGAACTGGCTGCTTCTCTGAACTCACAGCAGCCAGAGACTAGTGGAGGGGTGTGTGCGTGTGTGTTTGGAGTGTTGCTCTTGGACTTACAGTAAACTCTGGGAACTTTGGGGGCGGGGGGAGTTGGAACAATAAAAGAGAGTTAAGCCTTATTCCGGCTGTGTTGCTTTTGTACCCGGTCCTTGGTCATCACACCAAGATTCAGACATGACTGAACAGTTAAGCTAAATAATAATTACACAGGACAAAGTGTGGCTTGATAGCACTCTGAAGTCCCTTACAACTATATTATTTTGTTACTGTTACATTCACACACAAAGTAGTACCACTTTTCTAACGTAGCAAAATAAATAATGGGGTATTTTGTCTAGGCACAGTGGACTTTGAAAATAGGGGAGCTCTGCATTTCAGTGATCTTTAAATGCTAGTATACATAGCTCTTGTTATTTTGACATTTCCAAATATGAACATACACATAATTAGATAAGAAATATTTTTATTTAATTACATACCTATTTATAGAAAAAAGACTGAGTGATAAAGGAATCCATTTGAGAAGTTTCATAAATGTTCAAAATCCTTTTGTAAAGAATTTTGTTTTGAGCAATATAGGCTAATTTGAACACCAAATTAGATGATGTATCAAGAAATTGATGATGAATGAGATTAATACTAGAATTGTTAACTTCCAATAGTCTCCCTTAAACAAATTACTTATTTCCAATCAAGAAAACCAATTTTCCTTGCTTCCTACAGAATATTTCTTAAAGTAATTGGTTTAATTTGCTTATATTAAAATACATTTATAACATTATTAATTTGGAAACTATATATGTTGATCAGCATCAGATCTACTTCTGCATCCATTATTCTGTAAACTTTTATGCTCACTTACATTGCTTTTATTTGTATTTTTTAGTTTCTTTGGATAATCTACGAATTCCAGGTGTGCTCCAAAGATTGGCTTGCACTTATTTTGTTGTTGCGACACTGGAACTGTTCTTTGCAAAACCTGTGCCTGAGAACAGTACTCTGGTCAGTGAATGGTTTAACACTAGTATTTTAACATAAAGTGAAAAGAGTATTGGCTTTTCCTGATTCGAAGTATTTAATTAAAACTCTGCTTCAATATGTAATTTAGAAAAACAAAAATAGCATTTATCAAATGTATCAAACACAAATATCAGTTCTCTCCCTTGCTTCAATTGTTGATTTACCCCAAAATCTATGGAGATTCTCAGTCATCCAGGTCATGATTGTCCCAAAGGCGTTTTTCAAAAGGCAATTGGATTTTCTTTGTTTTTTCTTGAAGACTTCTCATTCAAGAAGTTTCTTCAGTTATGACTGAATGGTGGAGAATGGAAGTATTTATATTCCTTGCAGTCATCTGTTTCTTAGCATTCTCTCTGAGAATCATTGAGGCCATTTGGTGGTTTATCTGTACCCTCAAGGTCACCTGAATAGTGCAAATGGGTGTGGAACCTTCTTGGAACTGTTAGAAGAATTGTGTTACAAATAGGAGATAGGTGGCATGGTATCCCTTCCCATCTGTTGAGAGAGGAGTGTTCAATTTTAATATAGAGGGTCTGTTCGAGTCTTTTCAAACCAGCAGTCCTCTTTCAAATGCAGATGGACTGTTGAAATTTATCCTGATAGGTTTGTTCTTCTATGTTGTGCCATGGGTTTTGTTTCTTTGTCCATAACAAAGAAGAGAACAATAAAGAAAACCATGTCATTCCATATGTTTCAAGAGGAGCTGAAAAGCTCAAAAGGATTTCAACCAATATAACATGCATATTTTGAAACCCAAGAATACACTAAGGCAGAAGTTTGTCTACCCCAAGAATAAAACACCCAGACCCAACCTGAGTAATATGATATATGCAGTACAATGAAGTGAGAAATGGACAGATCTGTGCTTTGGAAAAACAAAACAACCACTTCATAATCACATGGCACAACATAGAACAAACCATCAGGACAAGATTCAACAGTCCATCTGCATTTAAAAGACAAAGGCCACTATTTTGAAGACAGCAAAGTCCACATTCTGGACAGAGGGGATAGCTGGTCTGAAAGAGGGATCAAAGGGGTCATCTATATTAAAATTGAAGAGTCCTCCCGCAACAACCCTACCTATCTCTTGTTTACCATACAGTTCTTTCAGCAGTTCCAAGAAGGTTCCATGCTCATTTGCACTATTCAGATGACCTTGAGAGCACAAATAAACCTTTAAGTGGCCTCAATGAGTCTCAGAATGAGTGCTAATGACCAGATAACTTCAAGAATATAAATTCGTCCATTCTCCAACATTCAGTCAGAACTGAAGAAGCTTCTTGGAACAGGAGCTAAACATCTTCAAGGAGAAATAAAGTCCAATTACTCAATAATTAACAAAACCCTGTAGGCTTCTATCTTATAAATCCTGTAGAAAAATGAAACTGATGAGTGAGAACACAGTTGTGTAAATGATGTGACTCATTGAACACAGAAGGCTTTATTATTGATCCCGCATTGTAATGATGGTGGCAGCAAGGAAGCAATAGGCTTCAGAAATGATTTAGACAGATATCTTTTTTCAGGATGCTTTAAAGAACAATACATGAGAGTAATTTTCAGAAAATACAAGACTTTTATGCTGCTATCTGGTGGAGCTGCTCCTGAATTAAAGCATTCTCCAAAAGGTGACTTCAGGCACCCTGTAGAAGCCTAGATTATTAAATCTTTCAAGGATAAAGTTGCTAATTTCTGCTTCTTATTCTTGGTGTTCAATATTTGAAATGTTTTTAGATTATATCATGTTTACTACCTGAACATAGTTCTCTCATCTATTCTTAGAACAGACAAAAGAGTCAACACTTAGCTTTAAAGCCCAAAACAACATGGAGCCTTCTCTTCCACATTGAGTGACCTATGTAATAAACATGCAGGTTTAAAGCACTCCTTCAAATATCTTATTAGGATAGGCAATGAACCAAAGAAAGGAGTGAGGAATGGGCTTTGGGATTAGGTAGGCCTTTCCTAGTGCTTTACTGTTGCTTGCTGTTTTAATGTTTAATACTGTTAACATTTATTTATTTGGGGGGGGGGTTAATGACTTGCTCTTTTTATGGACTGCCCTAAAAAATCAAAAATGGAAGAATGATAAAATTAAGTTATTAGATAACAAATAAGTTATCTGACTGTGATGCTTGATCTGCACGGAGAACCACTGAAATAGCCTAAACACAATATAAGTGTATGAGCTTCTATTACAGGGGTTTGTCTGCAAGCCAGATCAGGCCCGGATCAGGGATGCTTATATCTGGCCCACAGGGCTGCCCGGAAACGGTAAAGGACTGGCCTGCAGTGCCTCTGCTAGCAAAGACAGAGATTGGGGAGCTCCATTTTCACTGGCAGAAGGCTGCAGGAGGCCATCACGACCAAAAATGGAGCCCAGGCAGACCACGCGTAGCTCCCTGGGCTCCGTTTTCGGTGGCAGAGGCTGCAGGAGGCTGTCACAGCTGAAAACAGAGCCTCGACAAGTGACGCCAAGCTACCCATGCCCCCTGCCCCCCCCCAGGTCAAACACAACCCTGGTGCAGCCCTCAATGAAATAAAGTTTGACATCCCTGTTCTATTCGTTTTTCTTTTCCATTCTGCAAAAAAAAGAAAAGATTGGACCATAACCTGTGTTAGTCAGTGGCTGAAGTTAACTACTGTTACGAAGACATTTAGTAGAAGAAAAACTTAGAAAGTATACAAATGATGTTAATAGAGTGAATACCTTCAGCAAATCCAGCACTTGTATGAGTTTCCCAATGAAACCTTAATTACTTACATTTTACTTTTCTTTCTGTGTTTAATAGACCTCCTACCCAGCTCTTCAAGATATTCTTCCTTATTGGCCCCAGTGGCTTTTTATGTTGGCCCTTGAAGGACTTTGGCTGTGCCTCACCTTCTTTCTGAGTGTACCTGGGTGTCCAAAGTCAGTTGAAGTTTAAATACTTTTTCTTTTTTCAATGCTATCTTTTCCAGATACCTGTAGATATTTAATATACTGTTCCTGTTAATAACACTTCAATGTTTAACATTCAGATAATAGTTCTTTGCCATTAGTTAACTTGGGGGACAACTGACTACAATATTCTCATGAAGAAGTTTTACTAAAATCAGTTGGAGCTAGCTATTCTAGGTGTGCTATCTATCCCTAGACTGCCTTTTTGTTTACAATGATTCGCATATGGAACTCCTAATGGGCTGTTAATGTGGCTTAGATATGACACATAGGCTAAGAATTTTGTGATGAGGATCCTGTTTTTGGATTTTGATGGACAGTGGAAACAGCAGTGAGATGAAATGATGGACACTGGCCAGTTAGGGAAATTGTCGACATATTCTGGAAGCCATTGTACAATCTTAACAGCTTACAAAGCTGCTTTCTCTTTATATTAACATTACACAAAAAGATCTCCTGACCCTTTCAAATCAATCTGCTCACATCCATGTTAACATATGACTCACTTTTTTTTTCCTCCTGTAGAGGCTACCTTGGACCTGGTGGTATTGGCAGTTTTGGAAACTTTCCCAACTGTACTGGAGGGGCAGCAGCTTACATTGATCATTTGCTGCTAGGAGGAAAACATATCTATCAACATCCATCTTCTAATGTGAGTTAAACATTCCAAACATCTATCAACTATTTGTAAAATGGTTTAACATGCTTAAAAGTCTTATCACTCTTTATTAAGAACATTGGAAGTCAAAACATGATTTTAATTTTTGTAATTCTTCAAACTTGTTGCCAGCTTTTTACTTTTTGTATTTATGCCTTGAAATCAAGTAACTGTACTTAATGTATTTAGATAATATTTTCATTAGAAATATGTTATTTTTAAAAGGTAAAGAAAATACAGATTATCTGACAGAACTTTCACTCACAATTTCATTCAAACCAGGAAATCAATATTACCATTCTCTAATTTCTTAAAGTAATGTTATGATTGCATATTGCAGAAATAGTTGAGATACCCCATGTCCAAGTCTTTAGAAAGCAGTTAAGAAATACAATGGCTGGAGCAATTTCACCTATTTTTCAGTAAGTTCAGTAAGTTCTAGTGCTAACAATAAGTAGAATGGCATGGCTATTTTTTTCCCATCTTCACTTAATTTTATTTTATTTAACTCAAAGTCTGTCCTATTGAACAATAATTTCAGTGAATTACTGCTATTGTTACACAGTTATGTATTTTTAATAGCTCTAAATTTACTTTAGGTCTATTTTAAAATAAATTTAAAATAAAATAAATGTAACAAAAAATTTCCATCCAGATGTCTAGCACTAAGTGACAGGCAGGCACAGGTAACTTCCATGCAATTCTTACTTTCTAACTTGAATAGAATAACTATGCCTATGTGTTGCTCCCAGTCTCATGACACAGAAGCTCAGTGTCAGAAGAAATATCTGAACAAACAACATTTCTAGATCTAAAGCTCTCCATGGGACTACACAAAAGCATTCTGAAGCTTCAACTGGAGGTGTGGGCAGTCTTTGGGTCCCATAGAGTGGTTATGTTACACTGCTGTTCTGCAAGCTGCACTTGACTGCTGGTTTGCTTTTGGGGTATTGGTTATCTATAAAATTCTGCATGGCATGAATCCAGGTTACTTGATCCATCTCAATCATGCTGGGCAGAGGACACTTGCTGCAGATCTCATTGGTCAAGGAGCCTGGCTGGTGGGGTCCAGAATGAAGAGCCTTCTCTGCCATAGTGTTAGCCCTTTGGAACATGTTGTGCCCCTGGGGTGTGAGATCTGCCCTCACCCTTCTTCAGTAAGAGCCTGAAGTTCTGGCTGTGCAGTTTGGCCTAGGACCTCAGTGGAGGATATCACACTGGCACTGGTAATGGACTAATTAGTCCATTAATCCTACCTCCCCTGCTATACATCCTGCTTCCATAACTTTGTATTCTTACTCTTACTGTTTCATATACTTATATATTTACTTACTGTTAGATTTATTTATTTATGGTTTTAGCATTTTTAATGTAAGCATTAAAAGCATCTCATAGTGAGATGGATGACAAATTTCATAATTAAAAAAGTGTTGCTACAGTGCTAAAGCAAATTGTATTTAAGTTTCTATAAAATTAAAGTTTAAACATAATTACTGATGTACCCTTTTCAATCTATAGGTGTTGTATCTCACTACAGTTCCCTTTGACCCTGAAGGAATTTTAGGAACAATAAATTCTGTTCTTATGGCATTTTTAGGACTTCAGGTATTATATTCTCTTATCCTATGTAAGCAGAAAAGCTTCATCAGATGCTATTTAGAAATATTACAATTCCCTATATGAGTATGAAAGGTAGGTCGTCCTCCCATTGGGATAATAATCCAAGTGTTGTTCAAATAGGTTTTTTGGAACAATTCAAGGGAATACTTATTTTAATATTTCGAACAAGTGATAGAACTTCAGAATTAATGATTTAATAATGCTTTTATTTAGACTACAATACAGAAAAAAACTTAATATAGTTAAGAAAAACATACTCCAAAATCAGATTAGATGAAGATATTAGTAGAACTATTTAATGTTACATTAGAGTACAATGTTTACATTATGAACTAGTTCTCAGTTTCACTATATTAGTCTGCTAAAGCCATCCTAAGCCACGTTTAATGTTATTGTTTTTCTTCAAGGGAGGAAAAATTCTTTTGTTTTATAAAGATCAGCATAAGCAAATAATTCTTCGATTTTGTGTGTGGAGTATAATAATGGTAAGTTACAAATATTGCCTTGTTTATACTATATTTATTTCTCAATTCTTTTAACGTGTTTGTTTTTTTCTGGCAAATTTGGCTCAAGAGAGATGAATATTTCCTCAGTTACAATAAACTGAATTTCAGCTCTTTAAAGGATCACACTTAAAATGCAAATTAAAATATGCAAAATTAAGGTAAGAGTACCCTGTCATCTATAGATGGATTCAAATCACCATGTCCTGATGGACTACATCCCAGAGTTCTGAAGGAACTGACAAATGTGATTTCAGAATCACTGAAAGAAGTGATTCTGTGTCAGGAGCTTTCAAAGTTCTTGGATCACTAGGGAATTGCCTGAAGATTGGAAAAATCTTTAAAAAGGAAAAAAATAGATCCACAAAAAAAACCCCAATCAGCCTGATATCAATCCCTGGGAATTGATATCTGCAAACACCTAGAAGCAAATAAGGTTAAAATCAGAAGCCAAAACCATATCATGCCAAAAAAAAATCTGATTTCATTCTTTGACAAAAGGACAAAATTAGTAGATCAGCAAAATGCATCTGATAAAGTAGACCTACTTCTTGGCAAGCTAGTGAAATGTGGGATAGACAGCACCCCCAGCAGGTGAGTTTGTAACTGGCTGACAAATTGTACTTAATGTGTTAGTCTTCAAAAAAACTACGTCCACATGAAGGGAGATCGGCAGTGAGGTACCCAAAGGTTCCATTTTCAATATCTTCATAAATGATATAGATGAGGGAATTGAAGGGAAACTCATCAAATTTACAGACAACACAAAACTGGCAGTAATAGCCAACATCCCAGAAGACAAGCTCAAGATAAAAAAAAACATCTTGACAGACTTGAACCCTGGGCTCTATTTAATAAAACAAAATTCAACATAGATAAAAAGATTTTACACTAAGGTAAGAAAAAACTGTCTAGGAATAAACTAGGTGAAACTTGGCTTAATGTCAGTAATTGAGAGGGACCTTGGAGTCCTAATGAACAATCACTTAACTATGTGTACAGCAGCAGCCCAAACCAATGCAATCCTAGGCTGCATTAATAGAGGGATAGAATCAAGATCACATGAAATTCTAGTATTGCTTTACAAAGCTTTAGTAAGATCACACTTGGGATACTGTATCAAGTTTGTTTTGGGGTTTTTTTAATACTGTATCAAGTTTTGATCACAATATAAAAAAAGTTGTTGATACTCTGGAAAGAGTGCAGGGAACATAAAAAAATCATTAGGGGGCTGGAGGCTAAAACATACGAAGAATGGTTACAGGAATTGGGTATGTTTAGTCTAATGAAAAGGACCAGGGTGACATGGCAGCACTGTTCTAATATATGAGGGGCTCCTATAAAAATGAGATCAAACAGGTTTTTCAAAGCACCAAAAGCCAAGACAAGAAACAGTGGTTGGAAATTAACCAAGGAGAGAAACGATCTAGAATGGGATAAATTTCCTATCAGTGAAAGCAGTCAATCAATGGAATACTTTGCAGAAGTTGTGGATGCTTCACTGCAGATTTTCAAAAAGAGACTGGACAATCTTTGTAATAGTATTGGGTCTCTTGCTCAAGCAGGGGGCTAGACTAGAAAACCTATGAGGTCCCTTTCAACTCTATAATTCTGTGTTCAAGAATTGGCAAAGCAACAGTTCTGGGGTAATTCAGAGCAAATCAAATGTGGCATTAAATAGGAGTTTATCAGGAGCTGAGCAGTAGGAAGACAAGCTGAGGAAGACTTAAAGAACAAAGGAGAGCAATCGATGAAACTGTTCTAATGATTATGTCAGTGAAAAAAAAATCTTAGAAACTGTTGTTTGGAAAAGGTATGTATTGAAAGCGCCTAATTGCATATTGCAAATTATTGAATGATTGCTTACTGAGACTAGGAATATAAAACAGTTTTCTAGAGAATGAACTAATAAACAGAACATTCTGTAAGTCAGGCATTTATTTCATCCAAAATATCTGTGTGTTTTTTAGGGTGTCATTTCTATGGTGTTGACAAAATGCTCAAAAGATGCAGGCTTCATTCCAATTAACAAGAATTTATGGTGAGGAACATATGGAGTCATTTTATTATATAAACTGATTATTTGATAGATAAGTCTTAGATTACTTTTTGACATTCCTGCAGGTCAATTTCATATGTGACAACACTGAGCAGCTTTGCCTTTATACTTCTGCTGTTGATATACTATCTTATAGATGTTAAGAAGGTATGGTCTGGTGCTCCATTTTTCTATCCAGGTGAGTATGCTTAAAAAGAAAATATTTAACTTTTTTTCAGATTAAAAATCTAGGTGGCTATGAAGACCTTGGTAGATTTTCTTTGTTGATTCATACTTGCCAGTTTCTATCTAGTAGTTTTACACTGGTTTATATTCTTCCAGCTGCCTTACCAGATGCATTGTTCAATTTCTATAGCACTGAATTATTTTGCTAACAAGTGGACTGAATTTCCTGCAATCATGACATATGCCATCATCAATTTATGGCTGAATTAATGATTCCCTGCAATATAGATGAAATAGCTGCTGGATTGATATGGCTTGATTATTCTGTAGGAGTATCTTGGAATAAAGTCTAATTTGGATTAATTATAAAAGAAACTTGAGTAGCTTTAGGGACAACTGAAAATAATGGTGGCATAACCTGTGCGATTGGTAATCAGAAATGTTTAGAAATCATCTAAAAATTGTTTTTATTTTTGTGATATTATCTTCGTAGCTTATAGGATTTTACTTCCATAATCCTCTTAACGGATATTGCAAATTGATATGTGGGTCATTATTTGTGCTTTATAGAAATTTTCAAGTTATTTAGAAGCCATGGAAGAGGACTGAAAGAGAAGCTTGAGATTCCAGGGTAGGGTAGGTGGGATGGGTGGCAGTGGGTCATTTGAGAATCTCTTGGCATTCAGGGACTGGGCTCCACAAGTTTCTGGTTGTGAGACTGTTTCTGAAGCTGGGCTGATGGGATCAATTGGGATTGTTGCTATTATACCAGGATGCCTGCTGTATGACAATCTGCCTGCCTGAGCTGCTGGAGGCCATTTTGAGGCAGGCAGCGGAGTTCCCCAGATTGAAGGTTCTGAAAGACTTCAACCTGCCATTCCTAGCTTTGGCATCTGAAGCAGCCCAGAGTTCATGGTCATCATGGTGGCCATAGACCTATCAGAGATCATCTAAGACCTGAGACAGTAGTTAAACATATGATCTTCTTGTCAGAGCAACATGATCTGGTGGAGAATATAACATTGTCCCATTATGGTCAGATCACACCCTGGTAACCTTGAGATCTCTTATGCAACCACACACACTCCATGCAGGGAGGCCAGACCCATTTGAGTGATCTGTTTTCAAAAACTGATGGACCAGAATGTGTTCAAGAGAATGGGGGAATATTCTAGGGATTTTGCTGCACAACCTAGCCAAAGCCTTGGTAATATCCTGGAATCAATGTCCGAAAGGTGCTTTTTCAGGTGGCAACTGGACTTTCTTGTTTTTTCTCATCCAAGAAGCTTCTTTGGCTCTGACAGGATAGTGGGGAATGAATTTATATTTCTTGCAGACAGCTGGCAGTCTGGATCCTTTTGTCCATCTGCAAGGAATATAAATCCTTCCATTCCCCACTATCCTGTCAGAGCTGAAGAAGCTTCTTGGATGAGAAGCAAAATGTCTTCAAAAGAAAAAACAAGAAAGTTCAGTTTCCTACTGAAAAAGCACCTTTGGGACAACCATAACATGGATGCTGAGAACCCCTGCAGACATCCTGGAATCAAAGGACAGCCAGGACTATGTGGCCTCTCAACCCATCTCTCCCAATTTTCCACAAGGTTCATGGAGGAACTGCAGATTCTGGAAAAAAATTAAGAGACACCTAGATTACACTGGAGGAAACAGCAATATTTCTACACCCGTATTGCATTTGCAATGTCCCCCATTGGTCCTGTTTTTTATCACCCAGTCTCTCCTAGGGTAAGAGGGCTTAGAATCTTAGATGATCATCTTCAGGGTCAAACAGAGGAATTTGTTCAACATCTGATGGACAAAATCACTTGGATTTGTTCTCAGTTGGAACCTATGCATGGTGTAAGTCATATGAGCTGCCCAAGGAAAGGTCTTGCCGGGTTATCTGGGAACAGTTTAATTCTGCTGGACATGATGAATGGATAGGATTAACCACCTGTCAATTAGATTTTTGTCCATCCTGATTGGTGAAAGCTTCCAGTGGTGACTGCCAGGTGGATTCAAGCAGTAATACATTCTTCATTGCAAGAGAGGGGGTTTCTGGGGACTTCAAAGAGGGCCTGGATTACCCCCTCCTTAAAAACTATCACTTGATCTTATCTATCTGGACAGTTTTTGTTCAGTTTCCATTTTTCTTTTCTCGGAATGATAGTAGAAGAGGTGGTTGCTTGGCAGCTTCAGAGGTTCCTGAATTATTTTGACACCTTCCTATCACAATTTAGGCCTAGTTGTAGAATAAAACCAACACTGGCTACACTTGTTGATCTTTAACAAGAGCAGGATGAAAGTTGGGCAACCATTCTTTTACTCTTGACCTCTCTTTGCAGCTTTCAACCCTATCCCTTTGGGCCAGCTATGGGGTTTGTGGCTGGGCAGCAGAGTCTTGTGCTGGTTTTGCTCCTTTCTCTAAGGCCAGTCCCTTAGTGGTGTTAATAGAGAGAGATCAAGTCTATGGTCACTTCTTTGTAATATGCTGCAGGACTCTGCACTTTCTCCATCCTTTTTAACATGTATATAAAATCACTGGGTAAGATCATTCACCATCATGGGTGAAGGTATCATCAGTATGCTGATGATACTCAACTTTATATCCCCATCTCTGGTGATCAAGTGATGCTATCACTGATATCTTGTCATGCCTAGAGGCTGTGTAAGGACTTGGACAGGGGACAATAGTCTTCAGCCAAAACCTGGCAAGGCCAAATGGTTTTAATGGAGCTTCAAGATCTGGGACTGTAACAGTTTTAGTTCTGGATGGGGTTACAAAATCCAACTGCAACTTGGGGGTTCTCCTGCCTCACAACTCCTTCTCAAAGAGTAGGTGGAAAGAGCCTTTGCATTTTGTGTTACGTACCAGTTATGGCCCTGGTCATTTCACATGTAGATTACTGTGGTTCCAGGGAACCCCTAGTGTGGCCCATGTATACACCATATTGCTTCTGAGTGAAATTCAGGGTGATGGTTATTACCTTTAAAGCTCTTCATGGCATGGGTCCAGGTTACTTAAGAAACCATCTCACTTCAATTGGACTGTCCTGTCCTACCTATCCCAGCCAAGGGGGAATGCTATGGGGCTTATCAGATAGGGAATTTCAGGTGGCAGAGTCCAGAAGAATCTTCTCTGCTGTGGTGCCTGCCCTTTGGAACATCTTATCCAGATGTGAGATTGACTTCCAACCTTCCAAAGGGCCTGGTTCTGCCAGGAGGCTTGAGACCCCAACAAAGGAATATACACTGAGTGTGGTTGAAGAGAAAATCTCACCTCTCTGCACACATTGCTCCCTCCTTTCCATCTTTTAACTGTGCCTTTACTTTGGATTTGTTCTTAGAAATAACTGATCTTTCAACTTCCGGTTTGAGCTTCTTCAGCGACAGACCGAAACCTCGTCTCTGTGAGGCTTCGATCTGTGCTCGCTGCTGGAGCACCCCGAGCTGGCTGGTTTCGGGGCTAAGCCACCCTGTAGAGGTGATGAAGAGGGGGGAGACTGCCAGCAGGATTGAGGAGAGCCGCATCTCTCTTCCCCAGCTGGCCATTACTCCTTTCCCAAAGGCAGTCGCAGCGGTGATCAGAAATGGCCACCATAAAGAAGAACTCGACTGGAAAAAAATGTGCAGGAGGAAGATAAAAAGAGAAAGTTTTGGTTGACCGGGTCAAACAGCAAAAGCAACAAATAAGGTACCCTGGAATTGAAACTATTAAAAAACAATAACATTGTTCCCTAAGAGGATTTTTAAGCTGCGAAGGAGAGAGAAAAGGAAAAAGATTTGGTTTTCTCCTCTTCCTATACTGACAGCTAAGAGACTTAAGCAAGAAATTGGGAAAAAATCCACTTTGACATCAATAGGCATTTAATGCTGAAAATAAAAAGTCAAAGGGATAATAAAGATTTCTGGGTGATTAAAAGCTTTTGAAAACAGGAAAGGAGAGAAAAAGAATAAAAGGGTAGGATGCCTGGAATTAAAAAAGAACTTACAGCAAAATCTCAACAAGACTTCCAAAAGATACATTCTAACTGAAGTATCGCAACAAAAACCCCAGGAAGAGAAAGTTGAAAAAGAAATAAGATATAACTCGGGACTATCTAGATTACTTGATGATTTCTGGATTCTTGGTTATTGTTTTGAATGACTAAAATCAATCGGGTGGTTGTTTAAAACTTTTTAAAATGGCTCCACTTTTAGAAGAACTGAAAATGGAACTTAAAAAGTACAAAGAAGATGCACAAGAAGGGAGAAGTTCTTTTGGCTTCGTATTTCAGTTTTTAGAAATGGAGATTTGGAATTATGAGAAACAACAAGAAATGCCTGCAGAACAAGAAGATTGCGACAAAGAAGAAGCCATCTTTAATGAACAAGTAATCTTAGATGGGGGAAAAAAGAAAAGGGGGGAAAGAGAATGGAAAGTTTAAGATTGGGAAAAACAACTCCCCCCCAAAAAGAGTGAAAAATAAGTATAAAATCAGAAAGCAACAGAAGAAGGAAATGCAGAAAAGAGAATTAGAAGTAGATAGACAAGGGGGTAAAAGGGGGAGGGGGAAGATGAGAGGGAAGAAAGAAAGGAAAAGAAGTTATAAAGGACAGAAACAAAATATAGAGAAACAGGGCCTATTTAGAGATAATGGGTGAAAATTTAATGGAAAAAGGGATTCTGCAAAGGTACATAAGATAGTATGGTTATATTAGAAACAGAAATAATTTTAGAAAATATGAAACAATGTATGATTAAAATGTCTGATAAAATAGCTATCGTAATTGAGTGGAATGCTTATCAATAAATAAATGTAACAAAAGGTATATTTAATGATTTATAAAACACGTGAAGAGAAATAAGGGAAAAATTAATTATGGAGATTATATGTGTTTTTAAGGAAGTATGATATTTAATTGAAAAGAAGTGTTAAAGATGTTATGGTTTTAATGATTATTAATGATAGAACTGGAATGAAATGAGGGTTTATAATTACATATATTTACAATCTTTCTTTTAAAAAAAATATATAGTGTGTATTATAAGAATGTACCAAGCAGAATTCAATTGGAAGTTATATATTATGTATTATATTGAAGGTCATAAACTTAAGGTATATATTGAAGTTTAAGTAAGAGTTCAATGGATGTAATTAAAAGATATAAAGGTGTTGTACTCCAATTAGTAACTACAGAAGAAAATTTGTTTAATGAGAAAAGGTAATATGAAATTGAAACAGAACAGACAAAAGTATAAATATGATTTAAATATAAATGAGATGAGATAATCAAAATAAAATTGAGAAAATTAAAAGAGGGGAAAAACTATATAGAAAATGTAAAATAGTATAAGATACGGAATAGAATACAAAAAGGAGCATGAAATTGAGTTTTGTGTCTGTATAAAGAAGTTCAACCCGGGACCATGCTATTTTCAAAAAAGATGTTTTACTTGTATTTTGTGTGTGAAAACCCAAATAAAACTTTATTTAAAAAAAAAAAGAAATAACTGATCTTTCATGGTCATTGCTTTTAATGTTATAAGCTGCCCAGAGCTGCTTCGAAGCAAGATGGGTGGCATACAAATTTAACTAACAATCACACACACACTGCAATGCATTACTACTTTTCTGATGGTATTTTTGATTTTTTTACAGGTATGAACTCCATTCTTGTTTATATAGGACATGAAATATTTGAAGACTATTTTCCTTTTAAATGGAAACTGCATGATACACAATCGCACAGCGAACATTTGACTCAGGATCTAATTGCTACATCTTTATGGGTTATCATATCATATATACTCTACCGGAAAAGGATATTTTGGAAGATATAATTCAACTTAGTACAAATAAAAAAATATGGACTATGAGAATATTGTATTCCCCCCATCATAATGTCACTTTTTCCCGAAGGGTTCTGTATTTGGTTTACATTCCAGATTATTTTGAACTGAAATCTGTATATTTAAGGTTTGTTGGTCTTCTATTTAGTAAAACAAGACTTTATTCAAATGGTATTTTCTACATTATTCATTTCTAAATAAACATACTGAATGCTTTCCAATAATGGTATTTTCTAAAGACTTTTGGGTACACAACTATTCAGAAATTTGTCTCATAAAAATAACATAGATCATACGGTGGTATTTGGGACTATGCAGGTTCAGGAAGACTGTTCATTTGATTGTGCCACAATTCCTTACAAAAACCATTCAGGATTGTAGAATGGAATGAACAACAGTACTCTTCAGTGTCCTTCATCGCTTCAGTTCAGCTATGCTATTTGTTTTGTAAAGCAAGGATGCTCTTAAGCAATAGCCAAGTCTGCTTACAAATGACTTGTATCTATCTCTGACTTGCCTGCTTGATGATATCAGGAAAAACACTCAACCACAATGATATCCGGCAAAACATCATGATGAATATCTGTATCTGCTTTACATGACTTATGAATTATTGCAATATGACTAATGGAATTATGGATTTCTATTGCTTTTAATACTCACAATTTTAAATCCAATCTTGGGTCTGAACTAGATTTTTTTAATGAAAACACGATTTTAACTTTGAAAACTTTTATTTAGAATGCCAAAATCAGTCATGAAGTTTGGCTATACTTTTCCAGAACTTTGCTTCAGCAGCTAAGGATAACTGGCTAGCCCCAATGGAATGATAATGATTTTCCTCCTTATTTGCTTTTCAGCTCCAAAGAAGGAGCTCAAATGCTGTCTACTCAGCTCAATGTCTGAAGAAGCAAAATCTTCTCATTGACACAGAATCGATGCAATACCATCATCAAGTTTTCCCCACAGCGTGATACTTGACGCTCCATTGCCAGACGGAAATCTTCCTTCACGCCTTTGGTGATTCCTCTGGTGATTGTGTGATGTCTGCAATTATAATAGCACAAAAAAAATTATTGACCATGGAGCTATATCTTGTGAAGTTAAAACTGCATGGTATTTGTTGCAGAACATTCTAGTTAACATTTTAAAATATTTACAGACTGAGAATGTTCTGTGATAAGTATCATACATGTATCATAAGATTTTATGTAAAATCTCCAAATGATTTTAAAGGTATGGAAACACATCCTAGAATCTTAAGTTCAGAAATGTCTGGATCTCCTTAATGGAGTGTATTTAAGTATCCATGGTAAAGGCAATTGTATTCAAATTTAAATTTGGTCACAAGAATATTTTTATGACTGCAAGTTAAAAGAGTAATGGAACTAATACTGTGTTTCATTTTTAGCATAAATTACCAAAATAGAATAAAAACAGATCAATATATATGTAGTAATATAACTGTAAAGTTCTAGAGAGGATATCACTAATCCTTTCCCAAACACACTGCATAACTCTCTCCACAAGAAATTAAATAATTTATGGCCTAACGAGAAGAATCAACAGTACCATTTATTGTTCAATTACAAGTAGACCTCAACTTATGACCACAATTGGGACCAGAATTTGGTTGCTAAGTGATGCTGTTATTAAGTCATTCCAGGACCATTTTTAACATGGTTATTAACCAAATCTGGTTATTGATTTTGCTTGTTGAAAGCTAATTGGGAAGGCCACAACTCGTGACCATATGATTAGAGTACTGCAACTGTTGTAAATGAGCTGGTTACCACGCATCTAAACTGCAATCATATGACCACGCAGTTAGTACAAATGTAACTTCAAGGACAAGTCATAACTCACTTTTTTCAGCATCATCGTAACTCTGAACTGCCATTAAATGATTGGTTGTAAGTTCAAGGATTACCAATATAATTATAAATTTCCACTATAACCACTACTGTAGCACCAAGAGCTACGGAAATGAGTCATGAGATTATGCCATTTTATAATGGGCATTCTAAACATTTTAGTTTTTTCCTCCTATTGCAATGATTTTGCACTCAGCTATTACCTATGAATTCTCAAGCAATTTGCAAGGGTAAGATTTAACCATGTTGCAAACACACACCCAATTTTCTTAAAGGATTGGGCTATCATTACATAAACTATTGAGAGATCAGAAACTGCTGCATATCCACCATGGACTACTACAGTGCATTTCTGTGTTATACAATCTCTTAACTATTGGTGGAGAATTCAAAATAAAAGTGGGCAAAAAAAGAGGAAGGCAAGGGTAGAAATGAATTGCAAGTTTTTAATTTTCCAAAATTGTTTTACAACGATTGTCTATTTTATCTAAAAAACCCTCTTATACAATATGAATTAGCTGAGGCTAATTGTCAATAAAATAAAAATGCACAATTTGACCTCAATTCTATGAAAAAAAAATACATTTTATTTCTGAAACTGCATATTCAATAAAGCTGTATTTGGTTGATTTTAAACAAGACTTCACATCATTTATATGCTTTTTCATTGCCTCTATCTTGCCCATATAGTGTTTTAACAGAAGGCTAATTTCTTGTTGGAGAAACAACTTGCTGAAACCGCAAACCAGATTACTAACAAAACTGCATAGATTAATTTTCTTCCACTGCTAATAGTCAAATTTTCTTCTGAAGAGGCAAAGAAAATAGGAACAAGTAATGCACTGAAAGGAAAGAATATGAACAATGCTATGAAAATCCTTGCCAGTCTTAACAAATTAGATTCAATTTTTAGTTACATTAAAAAAGGATGATCTAGTTTGTCCAGAAAAAAATAAAACATTATTTTATTAAATAGAGATCCACTTAAAGTTTAACATACATGGGCCAGTAACTTATGGAAAAATAACAAATGTTAACAATAATAAAAACAATTTGCCAAATGATGTAGGCACAAATGAAGAACAAAAGCATGGAATTAACAAAGGTCTGATAACCATGACCAGTACAACATATTGACGAAAAGACAGCACACTATGAGCAGGGATGTCCTCCTGCTTTGTACCTGTCAGCAGTCTGCATGCTGGGCTGTAGTACAGGTATGAATTCCTGCTGCAGTAACCCCAGCGGAGGGCTAGAAGTCCTTTAAAAAACAGCAAACAGCGCATTCAAACACACACCAACTTCCCCCTGTGCTACAAAATCAATTCTCCAGTAACATATACATTAACAGGAGGTTTACAAATCAAAAGTCTAAATCCTGGTACAGGCATCCAATTGATTTTTTTTTTTTTAATTAGAGCTGATGAAACAGAAAAAAGCTTCACAAGCCTAGGCATTCCAAAAAGAATTCAAGAAGTTAGCTGAGGATTTAAATCCTGTTGGCATAAATAATGCCTTTACTAAGAAAGACAAAATGTGGTAAGCAATCCTTGGATGACGTGTAAAATTTCAGTTGAAAAAGCCCGGCAAATGTTCACTATGTTGAAGAGAATAAAATATATCCCTTGAAACACACATGCCCCAATTCTCTATCTCTTTCAAATGGAAGAATATTACTGTTAGACTAGGCTACCAATGTAACAGATCAATCCACCTCTTTCTTTTACAAAATAGAAAGGGCTACTTTGCATCAAGTATGCTATACGTTTTCTTGCCCCAGGGCACACCTAGGGAAACTGCAGCTTCTATAATTCTTTCCCCAATATTTTTTTAGTAATTGTGTGAAAGCAAATTTCAAAAGAAAATAGATCAACAGCAAAAACCAAGATATTTTGAAAGAGAAAAGAAAACATAACACTTCAACAGCAATAGTACTTAAGATTTACATACTGCCATGTAATGCCTTACAGCAGTCTCTGGACAGTTTGCAATTTCAGCATATTGCCCCTAATAATTTGAGTCCTCATTTTAACGACGTTAGAAGGATAGAAGACTGAGTCAACCTTGAGCGCCTTCAGGATTGAACTCCAGGCTGTGGGCAGTTAGCCTGCAATACTGCATTCTAATCAGTTCACCACCAGAGCTTGACCCTGAATACACATTCCAGAACTGACTTATACTACATATGCTTTCAAACAGAAATTTAGCAGTATATTAAGACATGAAATACATTATTTTTTAGTAATAGCTGCAAGTTAATGTCACTTGAAGTTTGTTATTATTCATATGTATTACAGGAAATACATACTGTAATTTTTGCCTTCTCCAGCATTTTATTATTTTTCCAGAATTTTTCTTAATTGCTGTTGTATAATGAAAAGCTGCAATAATTTCATAGATATTGATGCTTTAGATATGATATGCCCTGCCCCCATTAGCCAAACGGCAGCTAACAGATTTGTTTCATATATTATTAAAAAAAATAAGAAAACAAAAATTGTATCTCTTTTATATTAGCATTTGAGAAGCCTGTTGGAAGTTATACAAGTTCAAAAGCTTATAACAGAATTCAATTGAATCTAATTTTCACTGCCAACCTAGAAAATGAAACATCTTAATATGCTGATATACAAACCAGTCGGCTTTTTTAAAAATAATAAAAAATCAAATTTAAGTTGGTTAAGTTTTCAAATTTTCTAATTCAATGCAAACATGACATAATCTGTTAATTCCTATAAAAATGATTAATACAAAATACCATATTAACTACATCATAGCACAAATGCAGGAACGGCTAGCAAGGGAGTACTATCACCATAATACCTTCAGTTTTTTTCCCATTCAATCTGATCCGATTCTCAGACACTGCCTGGACAAGTCACTGCAGTTTTCTTGGAAATGTTTTTCAGAAGTGGTTTGCTATTTCCTCCCTCTTAAGGCTGAGAAAAAGTGACATCTGGCTTTGTAGCTATGGCAGGATGAACTCTAAAGTCTCCCCATTTCTAGACTGGTGCTTCAACCACTACAACAACCTGGTTCTCTAACATATTTACTAACAATTTCAACGAAATTGGAAATAGGAATTATTTTATGATCAGCAAATTCTCCTTTGGAGAGAAATT